AATTTCTAATTGTTATTACTAACTCACAAGATGATATTTACCAAAAAAACTTTTACCAAACAATTTATTTACCAAGAGAAGAATCACTTTTCCGATTTTCTCACTCGATAGATCTATCTATACCGCTCGACGCTTCAAACCAGTCTGAGTTCAGCTTTGAAAATCTTTTCCTCCAGATTTTATGATTATAAATCTCACTCTACAGTGCGTGCTATGTTCGCTTACCGATATTTCTTCTACAAACTTGCCTTATCGCGCTTTTCAAGTGGCGCCTTGACATTTCTTGTATATATCTTAGTAATTTTACTATATTTTGATTTGATTTCTTGTGCCGTTTCAAGAGAAAACTTCAGGGAAGCATGCATGTCTCAAAAAGTTGCGCTGAAATAACTCAATTCTCCGTAATCACAAATAAACTTTAATGTCCCACGAGAGGGAACATCCGAGTGATATGCTAGAATTACGATGTCCCACGAGAGGGGACAGCGGAGTGCAAAGGGTTAACTCTCTGCTTACCGAATCCCAACTGATGTTTTCGTGAAATCGTTCCGCCACTTGAAATTATCTCTGATCATTTTTGCCATTAATGCGTAAAATCCGCAGTCTACTTATCAATACTTTGACCGACAGAGTTGTGCATATTTTATTCGGATAAAGAATACAATTTGATTCGTAGAATTTATTCGACGTATTTTTCGGACCAAATTTTATTCGAAGAATTTATTCGATGTATTTATTCCAAATATTACTCGAATAAAATGTTATTTCAAGAATTTATTTCATGCATCATCCGAATAAAATTTTATACGAAGAATTTATTCGTTGTATTATTACAAATATTATTCGAATAAAATTTTATTTGAAGAATTTATTCGATATTTCATCCGAATAAAATTTTATTGGGAATATTATTCCAAATATTATTCGAATAAAATTTTATTTTTGAAGAATTTATTCAATATGTTATCCGAATAAAATTGAATTCGAAGAATTTATTCGAAACATCATTCGAACAGAACTTTATTCGAAAAATTTATTTGAATCGTTATTCGAACAAAACTTTATGTGAAGAATTTATTTGAAATGTTATTCGAATAATGCCCAACTCTGTTGACCACAATAATATTATATAAATAAATATTAAATAATATAAATCTTGTTCCTAATTGTTCCTGTCCTCGCGATGACTCCACAATAAGCCTAATTTCACTAAAAAAAAATTTGAATATTGTTAACACTACTCAACATAGCAATACAATTGAGCGATACTTATACTTGTTAAACATCGGTTGAACTCTCGATGCTACAAGGTAAGAGGTTAAGTATGCAGCAGAAGAATGTTCCTTGGGTGAGCGATTTGAAAAGATAATGACCACTTAATACGGTTCCTGTGCCGGTGCGTTACAGGTGTAGGACTTTTAAGATATGCACGTAAGAACCACTAATACCGCGTCGAACCATGACATTACGCAACACCATTAAAAACGTTTGCGGTCGTTGCTTTGCGGTAAGGACAGCTTTCATCTTTTCACCATTCCGACAGCGTTTACTATGCAGGCAAACGTGCATACGAGCGTGTATCTGGCAGCGGTTTATCGTGGAGAGCTGCGGCTTTCTCGATAGAAGTTGAATAAAAGTATTAATTAGCAGGTGCCTTTCACTCGACTCTGTCAACTTGCCGGAATACGAAAACTTCACTTTCACCGACCTGCACCTCTTTGCACCTTTTGCACACCAGACGGTTCCGATTTGTCTTTTGTCCACATAACCGGCACCGAGATATCCATTAGGTATTTTAACCCCTTAACGCGCAGAAACGTATTAACACGGGCGTGCAAAACCGGCCAAAATGTGCAGACCCGTATATATAC